AAAAGAAAATAAAATGTTGCGCACTTTACAGCCTACGCCTTACTCCATCGAAACACGACCTGCGTGTGTTCAAAAAATGTTTATATTTTTTTTTCTGCATAGTATTATGCATCTTACATAAATTTAAGTTATACATTAACTGGAAAATGTATTCCGTTCGTAGTAATTATAAACTTATCTTGCTTCATATTTAAACAGTTTTTCGTAGTTGCGTATCTCTGAATGTCAGTATGCGCATTTTAAATTGGTCTTAAAAGAAAGAATATATGTGTATGAAAACTAGTAACGAATCCCCGATTAGGAAGCCGTTGGGTTTTTATGTCCTCGCGTGCCTAATTTACGCCTAAACTTTATCAATACTAGTGCTTCATGGTGTGAAGGATACTATGTTCTTTTTATTATCTTAGATAAATAACGGCAAACTGTGAAGGTTTTGTAAAATATATGCACAGACACGTGTAAAATGAGGATCCCTAGCGATAAGTGACTAATTTTCACTCAACCATAGCAAATAGCTTCTTAAAAATTACTATTGAATACCCTGAGAACCCCCGTTCCATGGAAATTACATAGTCCACAATCGGCGTATATATCGAAAAAATCTTAAATATATTAAATAAATAGCTGGAAATAAAGGTTTATCTGTATAAAATATTTTGACTAAAGAAAATACATTTTTATATAATGAACGTGGTTACCTACACGTTTCACGTAAAGAACATAGTAAACTTGCTTATTTTAAAATTATAGTTTTTCTTCTGACTTCGTTAATCATATTATTTATGTCATAACCCTTATCCTTTAACTGAATGTTGAATGCCATACTTAAATTACCTGCTCCTGTTCATAAGTATTATGAATGAAGAAAACATCTACCTTTCAGAAATCTTGGATGAGCAAAAGTCAAGTTGGAGAAATAAAATGGCAGTGCAGACGACGGAAACTTGCATGTAACCCACCAATGCCAGTCAGCTCTTTCTCTCAGAACCTCGAAGGTAGGTATCCATGATGCACTAGGGGCCCCTAGGGCATAACGGATACCTACTTTCGGCGCTGTTGGACAAATTGGAACCTTGTACACTAGCGTGTCTTGACGTTTCATGGAATATGTCAGACACCATACCCCAGTATGTGTTATCGCCGATGTTCCCAACGCCGTTATCGGGTAAGACTTTCTTGCGGAGTTTCACCTTTTGGTTGACTGTCGCCGTTCTCTTCTTGTCGACCGCCTAATTGGTATTTCCATTCACGGCTTGTCTCCATTTACGAACTATTACAACATTTTTCGTCCTCGATACAGATATTGTCTGTCCTTCCCGGGATTTACTTCGCAAGTACCCTGAAGTACCTGAAATTATTAGCTCCCAGTTTCGCACTTATGATGTTCGGCATGATGTCGTACACCATATCCGCACCTCAGGTCTTCCTGCATTTGCTTGGCTTCCACGACTTGTTCCGGCCAGTTTACAGGCCACCAAGACTCAATTCGATGGCACGCCGCAATTCGGCGTCATCGACCCTCTAAGAGTCCCTAGGCTTCCCCTCTTCACATTGTGCCCAAGGCCAAATCCGGCAACTGGATACCCTGTGGCCATTATTTTGCGCTCAACAATGCCACGGTTCGGGCTGGGTATCCCGTGTCTCATCTTCCGGATTTTGCTGGAGCCCTCTTTGGCAAAACGGTTTTCTCGAAGATAGACCTGGCACACGGCTTTTCATCAGATTCCAGTCGCCCCTGAGGACATTCTAAAGACTGCCGTTACTGCCACATTCGGCCTCTTCGAATTCATCCGCATGCCCTTTGTCTTACGCAATGCTGCCCAAAGGTTTAAGATGTTCAGTGACCAGTTTCTACGAGTTTTGCCATTTGCCTTTGCATGCATTGATGAACTCTTAGTGGCTAGTCAGACTGATGAAGAGCATATGGACCATCTTACAAAGATCACCGACAAAGTTGAGAAGTTTGGCGTTATACTCAATCCCTCAACGTGTGTGCTTGTTAAACCTTCTCGTGAATTTCTTTGCCACATTGTCAGCTCCGAACGTTTGCGTCCAAACGTTAAGCCCTTTGGTGATTTTTGTGCACCAACTTCGAACCGTCAGCTACAAGGTTTTATTTGCAAGGCTAACTTTAACCGCCGGCTCCTACCGAACAGTGCCGACCTCATGCACCCGCTCACCAATCTGCTGTCTGCTCCCAAAGGTCCACTTAAACTTACTGGAGAAGAATTGACGCCAACCTGCTAACGCTCAGCCGTGCGTGTTGTCCTGCAACAACACCTGCCTGGTGCGATTCAACCATTGGCTTTAGAAACTACTGCCCTCTGAGACGAGCTGCACCACCTTTGGCCATGAATTCCTCAACGTTTACCAGGCAGTGAAGCATTTTCGACGCTACTTTGAGGGTCGGCACTTCAACCCTAGAGAAACGCCACATGGACTTCATTTCCCAGTTCACCAAGTACATCCGCCACCTTGATGGCAAGAAGAATGAGGTGGCTGAACTTCTTTCACGACCTTCGCTATCTGCCGTTCAACTCTCACAGGTATCGACCTTGGTGCTATGACGCTGGAGCAAAAACGATTTGACTGTTCCGACAACGAAGCCGTCACTGGTCTCCAGCTAGCGGACGTTCCCCTCACCACCGGGACTGGCACCATTCTATGTGATGTGTCGACTCCTTTTCATCGTCTCTTTGTGCTTCCCTTGATGCGTCGAGCTGTGTTACAAACTCTTCATCGACTCTCCCATCCTGGGATTCAAACCAAACATAACTCTACGCGGAAAATTTGGCCTGGCCTGTCATGTACAAGGACTTCAAAGCTTGGGATTGCTCCTGCCCGAGATGCAATCGGAGCAAGGTTCATCGCCAAAATAAGTCTCACCCCGACCCTTTTCCCAGTATCGAAGCTCGATTTAGCCATGTGCATCTTGATGTCGTAGGCGTTTGCTTCAATCCAACGGCTTTACACATCTTCTTACTTGTGTCGACCACTACACCCGCTGGGTGGAATCCATCCGTTTGCCGAACGTGCAGACAGAAACCATTGTCAAAAATGTTTTCAGTCGTTGTGTCGCCACTTTTGGGGCACCATCTACCATTACCACACATCGCGGCACCCAGTTCGAGTCTGACCCTTTAAACACTTTTGTCAAATTCCTTGGTTGCTGTCGTATACGGACGACCGCCCGGCAAGATGGTCAGTCGGACTCTACGTGGTCCCGAAGAGACAACTGTCGACTTTGTACATCTTCTTCGTTAATTTGTGCGTTCCTATTCTC